CAGGCGCCCATATAATGTAGCATTTATCTGATTGATGTGTGCTTCTGGAGATGTGCTCGGTGTTATGCTCATCCCAATATCTTTCTCGTTGAATGAGGTTTGCAGTCTTTGTCCACCTAGCCTATACTCTGTCTGTGGTCTTCTTTGCCCTTCCTCAAACTTCATGACGTATGTGTGTGTGTGTGTGTGTGTGTGTACTCACCTAGTTGTACTCACCTAGTTGAGGTTGCGGGGGTCGAGTCCGAGCTCCTGGCCCCGCCTCTTCACTGATCGCTACTAGGTCACTCTCTCTGAACCGTGAGCTTTGTCATACCTCTGCTTAAAGCCATGTATGGATCCTGCCTCCACTACATCGCTTCCCAAACTATTCCACTTACTGATTACTCTGTGGCTGAAGAAATACTTCCTAACATCCCTGTGATTCATCTGTGTCTTCAACTTCCAACTGTGTCCCCTTGTTACTGTGTCCAATCTCTGGAACATCCTGTCTTTGTCCACTTTGTCAATTCCTCTCAGTATTTTGTATGTCGTTATCATGTCCCCCTATCTCTCCTGTCCTCCAGTGTCGTCAGGTTGATTTCCCTTAACCTCTCCTCGTAGGACATACCTCTTAGCTCTGGGACTAGTCTTGTTGAAAACCTTTGCACTTTCTCTAGTTTCTTTACGTGCTTGGCTAGGTGTGGGTTCCAAACTGGTGCCGCATACTCCAATATGGGCCTAACGTACACGGTGTACAGGGTCCTGAACGATTCCTTATTAAGATGTCGGAATGCTGTTCTGAGGTTTGCTAGGCGCCCATATGCTGCAGCAGTTATTTGATTGATGTGTGCTTCAGGAGATGTGCCTGGTGTTATACTCACCCCAAGATCTTTTTCCTTGAGTGAGGTTTGTAGTCTCTGGCCCCCTAGACTGTACTCCGTCTGCGGTCTTCTTTGCCCTTCCCCAATCTTCATGACTTTGCACTTGGTGGGATTGAACTCCAGGAGCCAATTGCTGGACCAGGTCTGCAGCCTGTCCAGATCCCTTTGTAGTTCTGCCTGGTCTTCGATCGAATGAATTTTTCTCATCAACTTCACGTCATCTGCAAACAGGGACACCTCAGAGTCTATTCCTTCCGTCATGTCGTTCACAAATACCAGAAACAGCACTGGTCCTAGGACTGACCCCTGTGGGACCCCGCTGGTCACAGGTGCCCACTCTGACACCTCGCCACGTACCATGACTCGCTGCTGTCTTCCTGACAAGTATTCCCTGATCCATTGTAGTGCCTTCCCTGTTATCCCTGCTTGGTCCTCCAGTTTTTGCACCAATCTCTTGTGTGGAACTGTGTCAAACGCCTTCTTGCAGTCCAAGAAAATGCAATCCACCCACCCCTCTCTCTCTTGTCTTACTGCTGTCACCATGTCATAGAACTCCAGTAGGTTTGTGACACAGGATTTCCCATCCCCTGTATGTGTGTGTGTGTGTGTGTGTGTGTGTGTGTGTGTGTGTGTGTGTGTGTGTGTGTGTGTGTGTGTGTGTGTGTGTATGTACTTACCTAGTTGTACTCACCTAGTTGAGGTTGCAGGGGTCGAGTCCAAGCTCCTACTAGGTCACTCTCCCTGAACCGTGAGCTTTATCATACCTCTGCTTAAAGCTATGTATGGATCTTGCCTCCACTACATCGCTTCCCTAACTATTCCACTTCCTGACTACTCTGTGGCTGAAGAAATACTTCCTAACATCCCTGTGATTCATCTGAGTCTTTAACTTCCAACTGTGTCCCCTTGTTGTTGTGTCCCATCTCTGGAACATCCTGTCTTTGTCCACCTTGTCAATTCCTCTCAGTATTTTGTATGTCGTTATCATGTCCCCCTATCTCTCCTGTCCTCCATTGCCGTCAGGTTGATTTCCGTTAACCTCTCCTCGTAGGACATTCCTCTTAGCTCTGGGACTAGTCTTGTTGCAAACCTTTGCATTTCTCTAGTTTCTTTAAGTGCTTGGATAGGTGTGGGTTCCAGACTGATGCCGCATACTCCAATATGGGCCTAACGTACACGGTGTACAGGGTCCTGAACGATTCCTTATTAAGATGTCGGAATGCTGTTCTGAGGTTTGCTAGGCGCCCATATGCTGCATCAGTTATTTGGGTGATGTGCACTTCAGGAGATGTGGCTGGTGTTATACTCACCCCAAGATCTTTTTCCTTGTGTGAGGTTTGTAGTCTCTGGCCCCCTAGACTGTACTCCATCTGCGGTCTTCTTTTCCCTTCCTCAATCTTCATGACTTTGCACTTGGTGGGGTTGAACTCCAGGAGCCAATTGTTGGACCAGGTCTGCAGCCTGTCCAGATCCCTTTGTAGTTCTGCCTGGTCTTCGATCGAATGAATTCTTCTCATCAACTTCACGTCATCTGCAAACTGGGACACCTCGGAGTTTATTCCTTCCGTCATGTCGTTCACAAATACCAGAAACAGCACTGGTCCTAGGACTGACCCCTGTGGGACCCCGCTGGTCACAGGTGCCCACTCTGACACCTCGCCACGTACCATTACTCGCTGCTGCCTTCCTGACAAGTATTCCCTGATCCATTGTAGTGCCTTCCCTGTTATCCCTTCTTGGTCCTCCAGTTTTTGCACTAATCTTTTGTGTGGTACTGTGTCGAACGCCTTCTTGCAGTCCAAGAAAATGCAATCCACCCACCCCTCTCTCTCTTGTCTTACTGCTGTCACCATGTCGTAGAACTCCAGTAGGTTTGTGACACAGGATTTCCCGTCCCTGAAACCATGTTAGCTGCTGTTGATGAGATCATTCCTTTCTAGGTGTTCCACCACTCTTCTCCTGACAATCTTCTCCATGACTTTGCATACTATACATGTCAGTGGCACTGGTCTGTAGTTTAGTGTTTCATGTCTGTCTCCTTTTTTAAAGATTGGGACTACATTTGCTGTCTTCCATGCCTCAGACAATCTCCCTGTTTCGATAGATGTATTGAATATTGTTGTTAGGGGTACACATAGCGCCTCTGCTCCCTCTCTCAGGACCCATGGAGAGATAGTATCTGGCCCCATTGCCTTTGAGGTATCTAGCTCACTCAGAAGCCTCTTCACTTTTTCCTCGGTTGTGTGTACTGTGTCCAGCACCTGGTGGTGTGCCCCACCTCTCCATCTTTCTGGAGCCCCTTCTGTCTCCTCTGTGAACACTTCTTTGAATCTCTTGTTGAGTTCCTCACATACTTCACGGTCATTTCTTGTTGTCTCTCCTTCTTCTTTCCTTAGCCTGATTACCTGGTCCTTGACTGTTGTTTTCCTCCTGATGTGGCTGTATAACAGCTTCGGGTCAGATTTGGCTTTCGCTGCTATGTCGTTTTCATATTGTCGTTGGACCTCCCTTCCTATCTGTGCATATTCGTTTCTGGCTCTACGACTGCTCTCCTTATTCTCCTGGGTCCTTTGCCTTCTATATTTCTTCCATTCCCTAGCACACTTGGTTTTTGCCTCCTTGCACCTTTGGGTGAACCATGGGCTCATCCTGGCTTTTTCATTATTCCTGTTTCCCTTGGGTACAAACCTCTCTTCAGCCTCCTTGCACATTGTTGCTACATATTCCATCATCTCATTAACTGGCTTCCCTGCCAGTTCTCTGTCCCACTGAACCTCGTTCAGGAAGTTCCTCATTCCCATGTAGTCCCCTTTCCTGTAGTTTGGTTTCATTCGTCCTGGCCTTCCTGCTTCCCCCTCCACTTGTAGCTCTACTGTGTATTCGAAGCTCAAAACCACATGATCGCTGGCCCCCAAGGGGTCTTTCATATGTGATGTCCTCAATATCTGCACTACTCAAGGTGAATACTAAGTCCAGTCTTGCTGGTTCATCCTCTCCTCTCTTCTCTCTCTTGTAGTGTCCCTTACGTGTTGGTACATGAAGTTTTCCAGTACCACCTCCATCATCTTAGCCCTCCATGTATCTTGTCTTCCATGTGGCTCCAAGTTCTCCCAGTCGATCTCCTTGTGGTTAAAGTCGCCCATGATCAGGAGCTTTGCCCTGCATGCATGAGCTCTTCTGGCCAGTGCAGCCAGTTTGTCAACCATCGCTCTATTGCTCTCGTCATACTCTTGCCCTGGCCTCCTGCTGTTCTGTGGTGGGTTATACATCAGTGCAATTACCACCTTGGGACCTCCAGAGTGAAGTGTTCCCGCTATGTAATCATTTTCTTCTCCTCTGTCTCCTCTCTCCAGCTCATCAAAATTCCATCGGTGTTTGATCAGCAGTGTGTCAGGACACATCTTATTTTTTTATGAAATGAATCAGTAAGGCGGCTGAAGCCACTGGTCGCATGACCAACAATGTTGTTCTCAGTCAGCACATGATTGTATCACTAAAACATGCGTGCCAGAATTTTTTCTTTGTCGAATATTTGCTTCATTTCAACATGCTTGAGAAAGTAACGTCTGCATCTGCAACTCTTAAATTACGAATACGTCACTGACCTGTTCTCAGATAAACAGCAATAAAAAAATACGAACAACAATAATAACGACATAGCATTTGAAAGTTATAGGAAGTATAAGCTGAAGAAATCAATTTTTTTTCAGGTCAGTGTTAATGTATGGTTTTTAACATGAATATAGACTAAATATAAAAGACTGCGTGGACATTACTTAAATTTAATATCTTTATCATGCACCTCATACATATCCTGTGGGTAACATAGATACCACACGTGGACACCACACATACTTTTACATATGTAAGTGCAAATACAGTAGGTAATTAAACGTATACGAAAGTCACGTTACCTAGTGAAGACAGTCAGGTTAGTGGCTTTATTGAGAGAAAGAGAGAGAAGAGCTCTTGTCAGGTTTCATCTGAGAATGCACTTTCAATTTGGTCACAAACCAAGAGAAACTTTTCAAATACTTTCGTATTGGCGAGTTTAACGTATTTAACCATACTGGCATCACACTTGCGTGTTGCAATAGACGAGTGAGAGGACGGTGGTTAGCCGGACAGGTAATCCAGTGAAATCCGAGAGCCAGGTGAACTGAGAAGGCAGTCATGTGGTGGTGGGGAGACCTGCCTCCTTCACACACCTCCCTCACATAGTTCACTACTAGCAAGGGGTCCAGTCTCGCCTCGTGATCTCTTCACCGTCGTCATATCTCTCCTCAGACACAGTGACTTTCTCTTCGTGTGTCTGTCTACATCTGGTAATTGATCTCTGACAAATGTATCTGAAGCTCCCTACAGAGGGAGTGAGTGGTGGTAATGTAGTAGAAGAAGCCCCACACACGCTCCTTCCTGCCTCCCCTCCAGTCAGAGGTGTTTCAGCATGGCTGTAATGTGCTCCTAAGCTACTGATAAATATGCTATACGGGTTTATGGAAGTGCTTCCTACTATACAAATGCAGTGTTTGATGCAAAATATAAACGCATAGCTAGTATAAAACTCAAATGGTTCTATGATAAATAGAAAATGGGCATAAAATATAAACAGTATAACTTTAAAGTAATCATTATAAACTATTATTTCTAACTAAATATAGTTTTATTCAGTCTCATTTAAAAGAAGAAAAATACATAAATTATGATCATCGAGAAATAGCCATCTTCCAGCAGTTAAATACCAGTAAATCGCTTTTTGAAAGGTAAGTCAGTAGTTGAATTTTAATTATGTACAACGATTGATTTAGGAAAGTCTTAATCTGTTTTTAATACCTAAGTATGCAGCTCGACCCAAGTGAAACAGTCACACATTTCAGTGAAATATCAAGGAACTCAGAATGGAAGTAGCAATAAGTGGCTTATATATACACTAGGACTGTAACTCACCCAGGAACCTAGCTTGACCATGTGATAATGTCAAGTGTAACTTGATCATGTAATAATGTCGGGTGTAACTTGATCATGTGATAAGTGTAACTTGATCATGTGATAATGTCAGGTGTAACTTGATCATGTGATAATGTCAGGTGTAACTTGTTCATGTGATAATGTCAAATGGGGGTTCGATACATGGATTGGGTAATAAATATTCACATCAGATTTTCTAGTACGTATATTGGACGGAATATATGGGGACGCCAGGCCTGACCTGTCTCCTCTCTTACGTATCGACTTAACTGTTCTCTCGAGTGCCTGGAGGGTGAGCGGCCTACAAATCACACTAGGCCAGCAGTAATGGCCAGTGATATAACATTGATTCATGGGGAGGCAGTGAATCAGTAATGGTTGGTATGAGTCATTACTAATGAAACTACTGGTAACTGATGCTACTGGTAACTGATACTACTGCTAACTGATACTACTGAGATCTTGGTGATGCTAATGTACGGCATCTTGATATACAGCTAATACAAACTAGAGGTAACAGGCATATGGCTCTGGGCTGATTGTATACAATGTCAAAGTAGATGAATGGTTCAGAGAACCGACATGTTGATAAATTAGACACATGTGCAACTCTTGGGTATCTTTATTGAGGAAACGTTTCGCCACACAGTGGCTTCATCAGTCCATACTAAGGAGAATCTTGAAGAACAGGAGGAGAATAAGGTAATCAGTCCCTCAACCTTGAGTCGATGTGGTCAGTCCATCAATCTTGAATAGAATGATTCTATTCATTCTATTCAAGATTCTCCTTTGTATGGACTGATGAAGCCACTGTGTGGCGAAACGTTTCCTCAATAAAGATATCCAAGAGTTGCACATGTGTCTAATTTATCACAATGTCAAAGTACACAACAGTTGAACATTATAACTTACATAAGGATATCATTGGAATGGAACTTATTGTAATGCATTACAAGGTATGATATAGCACAATTCACAGAAGTAATAGATTCAATGGTGGGATTATACAATAAAAGTGATAAAAAAAATTGATGGATCAATTGGTATTCATGTGACCTACGGATTCTGAGGAAGGATATATACGAAGAAAGAAGTGTCTAACAGAAAAGGCAGACCTGGTGCACTCAAATCTAGACTGCTAATTCTCAGAATTCGGAGAGAATGTGAACACACAAAAAAATCTTGAATATTAATAAGATAATATTGTAACAGACAGTTGAAATACATTTGAAGCTGCATTATTCATCTATACTCTGCTTGGGTGAGATTTACATACACAGAGTGAGTATCATCTCTAGGAGGATCAAACTCTGTTGCATTGGCTAACTCATGCCATGGTTGAGGCAGATCTGAATTGGTATTTACAAATGATACTTGAGGATTTCTCAATACTTGTTGTGCACGTAGGGAATAACTACATTCAGGTTGATCGTCTCACTGAGTATTAGAGGTAGAGGGTACAGAGTCACGAGTATTATACAGACTTAACATTGGTACTGACCTTCATGTGTTAGTTACAGGCTTAACATTGGTACTAACCTTCATGTGTTAGTTACAGGCTTAACATTTTATTATTTATTTATTTATTTATTTATTTATTTGAACATGATACAGAGAAGTAAAAAAGGAATACAGTAAAGTGCAACATGTCAAAGCCCCTTGTATGCATAGCATTATGGGCAGGCTTAAAATTAACTTAAGATTAACTATAGATTAACTTAAGATTACTAACCTTCATGTGTTAGTTACAGGCTTAAATAAACAAAAGGCACAATACCGTGACTGGAACGATACACAAATGACCTGCACATAGAAGAGAGGAGCTTACGACGACGTTTCGGTCCGACTTGGACCATTTACAAAGTCACACTAACGAGAAGTAGAGCAGGAAGAGTATATATAGGCAGGAAGTGGTAGTGGTAGTAGTAGTAGTAGTAGTAGTAGTAGTAGTAGTAGTAGTAGTAGTAGTAGTAGTAGTAGTAGTAGTAGTAGTAGTAGTAGCAGTAGTAGTAGTAGTAGTAGTAGTAGTAGTAGTAGTAGTAGTAGTAGTAGTAGTAGCAGTAGTAGTAGTAGTAGTAGTAGTGGTAGTAGTAGTGGAGGTGGAAGGAAGTAGTAGTGGGAAAATAAGAAGGAGGAGCCAGACAAATACTAAGAAAGGGGAGCACTGCAAGGGAGCTAGGTGCCCACAGAGGGTAAGAGCAAGAACATAGAGGGGGGAATAAATAATGAAGGAACAACAACACAAGACAGAAGAAAGACAACCAGAGGAGAAAAAGGAAAGAGGAAATGGGAAGAGGGAGAAGAAGAAAAAGGAGGAATCAGGTTAGGTCACGGGTGTTCTGAATTTTGTTGCAATTTACAATGTAGTGGGAGAGGAAGGCATCTACAGAGACGAAGCCACGACTAAGATTCATACAAGGAAAGTTGTGTATTAGAGAGGATTCAACAAGATGGCGACTGTTAAAGTTGGAAGTAGGGAAGACAGTTTTAGCAGAAGACCAGTCTATAGGATGGCAGTGATCTCTGACGTGACAGAACAGAGCATTGTTAGTGTCGGCAAGCCTAACACTATTTTTGTGCTCCCTAAGTCTGTCAGAAAGAGATCGGCCAGTTTCTCCAAAGTATTGAAGAGGACAGGAGGAGCAAGAAATAGAGTAGACACCAGGAACATCTGTAGAGGGAGGAGAGGTATGATCGAGATTAGCGCGAAGAGTGTTAGTCTGGCGGAAAGTAAGTTTGATGTCTAAGGAACGGAGAGAGTTGTTGAGATTAGAAAGACCGGAAATATAGGGAAGGCAGAGGACAGAAGAGTTCCCAGGAGTAGAGAGTTTGGGAGAGAAGAAACTACGTTTAGCACGTGAGAGGGCAGTCTATGAAATGGGAAGGGTAGCCAAGAGGGGAAAATGAATTATGAAGAGTGGAAATTTCTGCTTGAAGGAACTGAGGATCGCAAATGCGGAGAGCACGGAGAAAGAGGGAGATAAGAACACTTTTCTTGACAGAGGAAACATGATAAGAAAAGTAGTGAATGTACATGTCACTGTGCATAGGTTTGCGGTAACTTGAAAAGACAAAACCTGTATCTGAGCGGTGGACATGAACATCAAGGAAAGGAAGCAAGGAATTAGATTCTCATTCAGCTTTCAACCTAACGGAAGGGGCAAGATTATTAAGAGACTAGAGACTAGAGTCATGAGGCCAGAGAGCAAAGATGTGCGGGTCATTTATGTACAGGCTTAATATTGGTACTAACTTTCATGTGTTCGTTACAAGCTTAGCATTGAAACTAACTTTCATGTGTTAATTACAGTCTTGACATTGGTACTAACCTTCATGTGTTTAACATTGGCACCAACCTTCATGTGTTAGTTACAGGCTTAACATTGGTACTAACCTTCATGTGTTAGTTACAGGCTTAACATTGGTACTAACTTTCATGTGTTAGTTACAGGCTTAACATTGGAGCTAACCTTCATGTGTTAGTTACAGGCTTAACATTGGTACTAATCTTCATGTGTTAGTTACAAGCTTAACATTGGTACTAACTCTCATTTGATGTTTGGATTGATAAAACAGGAAATTATTAGGCAAGATTAAGAGACCATGTCACTCAGGTGTGTAATGTGATCAAGCAACTCAGGTGTGTAATGTGATCAAGTCACTCTGGTGTGTCATGTGATCAAGCCGCTCAGGTGTATCATGTGATCAAGCCACTCATTTGTGTAATGTGATCAAGCCACTCAGGTGTGTCATGTGATCAAGCCACTCAGGTGTGTCATGTGATCAAGCCACTCAGGTGTGTCATGTGATCAAGCCACTCAGGTGTGCCATGTGATCAAGCCACTCAGGTGTGTCATGTGAGCAACTCATGTGTGTCATGTGACTAAGCCAATTAGGTGTGTCATGTGACCAAGCCACTCAGGTGTGTCATGCGGTCAAGCCACTCAGGTGCATCATGTGATCAAGCAACAAAGGTGTGTCATGTGATCAAGCATCTCGGGTGTGTCATGTGACCAAGGCATGCAGGTGTGTCATGTGACCAAGGCACGCAGGTGTGTCATGTGACCAAAGCACTCAGGTGCGTCATGTGATCAAGACACACAGGTACGTCATGTGACCAAGGCACTCAGGTGCGTCATGTGTCCAACCACTCAGGTGTGTTATGTGACCAAGCCACTCAGGTGTGTCATGTGACCAAGCCACTCAGGTGTGTCATGTGACCAAGACACTCAGGTGCATCATGTGATCAAGTCACTCAGGTGTGTTGTGATCAAATCACTCAGGTGTGTCATGTGACCAAGCCACTCAGGTGTGTCATGTGACCAAGACACTCAGGTGCATCATGTGATCAAGGCACTCAGGTGCGTCATGTGACCAAGGCACTCAGGTGCGTCATGTAACCAAGGCATTCAGGTGCGTCATGTGAACAAGGCACTCAGGTGCGTCATATGACCAAGGCACTCAGGTGCGTCATGTAACCAAGGCACTCAGGTGCGTAATGTGACCAAGGCACTCAGGTGCGTCATGTGACCAAGGGACTCAGGTGCGTCATGTGACCAAGGTACTCGGGTGTGTCATGTGATCAAGGCACTCAGGTGCGTCATGTGACCAAGGTACTCAGGTGTGTCATGTGATCAAGGCACTCAGGTGCGTCATGTGACCAAGGTACTAAGGTGTGTCATGTGACCAAGGCACTCAGGTGCATCATGTGTCCAACCACTCAGGTGTGTTATGTGATCAAGCCACTCAGGTGTGTTGTGATCAAATCACTCAGGTGTGTCATGTGACCAAGGCA